AATCAGGACCTCGTACATGCTAGGTAGGCTCAGAATCTCTCTCTACACTTTTCAATTTGTATTCACTTACAGCCAGTCTGTGACTCAAGATCTTGCATTCTGATTAATCCAGCTTCTGTCCTTTGGTCGATATTCTGGTTCTTCCGTATTTGACATGGAACACGGTTTCACTCAACTAGAATCATTTCCTTCTTCCCCAAGGTTATTGTTTTGGGAAACCCCATTCTCCTTAGTCATCAGCATCTTAAAGTCGGGCAAACAGTTCTTTACCTGTGCACGCCTGATGAGCTTGTGAGCTAATGCAGGCTTGCTCATCTCTGTAAGTATTTTGAAACTCTGTAATTCAATGGCACTGCATTGCTGCAATAGTATCTGATGCATGTGGAAACTGTCACAGTTAAAATAGGGAGCAGCCTTCCTCACTCTCAATTCAGAGGCTTTCATTTTTCTGCTCATTCGTCTTTTATTCATCTACCCATCCACTGACCCACCGCCATCATCCATATCATCACTGTAGCCATCTACCCTTCCATCTATTATCTATTGTTTACATGTCCAGTCACACATCTGTTCATTTACTCAGCCATTCCACTCTTTTTCCTCTTTAGATGGTGAGGACTGAGCCCAGTACCTCACACATACTAAGTGTGTCCTCTACTGCTAAGTCCCTGTGACTAATCTCTATCTATCTATCTATCTATCTATCTATCTATCTATCTATCTATCTCTGTGTGTATGATATGTGCACAGTCATACGTGTGAAGGCACAAACATTGAGTTGGAGGACAATTTGTGGGGTCAGTTCCCTTTTCCACTTTTATGGACCTAGAATAAAGGATTTTGAGGTAAGTGCTTTTTCCCACTGAGCCATCTCAGTAGCCTGAGGCTGGGAGTTTTTAGCCTATTTTTTTTTCTTTAATTTTTTTTGTATTTCTCATATGAATATAATTTATTTAGATCATATCTACTGCCTGCTTCCACCCTGAACTCCTCCTGGAACTCTCCTTCGCCTCCCAACTTCATATCTCCTTTATTTTTCTTTCAAAACCACTCAGGCCAATTAGAGGCTTTATGCACATGGGCATAGGATGCCACTCACTGGAGCATGGGCAACCTGCCAGGGCCACACTGATGAAGATGGACTTTTCTGCTCAGTGCAGAGAGAGTGGCTGGGGCGTGCTTAGCCTAAATGGGACAACCTTCTCCAACACACATACACACATGCACACACATACCTCACACACATACCTCACACACATTCTACACACACACACATACTACACACACACGCACACACACGCACACGCGCGCACGGACAGCTCAGGGAATATGGAAGAGGTCTCAGAAAGACCATAGTTGTACCTTTTCTCTTGGTAACCATTAACTGCCAACAGGTCCTTAGCTAGGGGCAGGGTCTTGTGAACCCCTTCCATTCTCCATGCTGGAGTGTTGGCTGCCTTGATTTTATGCTGGCAGCTACAGCTGCACCACCATGTTCAGAAGACATTACTTCACATCAATTTTTCCTTACCTTTTGCTCTTACAATCTTTATGGCCCCTCTTCCACAATATTCTCTGAGCCTCTCTCTGTGTGTGTGTGTGTGTGTGTGTAAGGTTGTCTCACTGAGGTTGAGCTCTTCAGTCAGATTTTCTCACTCTGACAAGTGTGAGTCTCTGAACTAACTGCCGTCTGTGGGACAAAGAAGCTGCTGCCATGAGGGGTGAGAACTGCACTGGTCAGTGCTGTAAGACAAGAATAGAAGGCAGCGTGGTGCTTCATTCCTTCGGCAAATGGGAGCAGCACCTATGACCTCCAGCCGGGGGAGTCTTTGCCAGGTTTATATTCCCAGGTATGAGTTCCCTCCTGCAGAATATACCTTAATTCCAATGAGAACGCTATTGGTTACCCCAATAAGGTCCAGGCCATTATTGCGCCAGGGGGCGCATCTCTCCAGGCTGGTCATTATTGTAGTTTACAGGGTGCACATCTGGGCCGGGTTCCTGATGGCTTTTCTCCCCCAGCAGCCTCACAGCACTCCTGGCACTGTGAGATCTAGTCATGGGGAGGATGTTCTCAGGTCAGCACCAGATTGATTTCCCACGTCCCGTGAGCAAAGTGTGTGGTGTCTTGGTAACCAAGAGCAATGGCAACTCTTTTCATGGTTTTGGGGTCTTTGGGACCCCAACCAATAACTTGATCAGGGACATCCTGTACTTGACACCATGCATTTTGTTTGATAGCCTATAGCATCTGGGAAAAGAACTGCACCTCTGAGTAGGAGAATTCCAAGTGTTCTCTAAAGTAAGTTTTAGGAAGCGTATAAAAATAGCTTTCCATTTGGCTTTCCCAAACATCCTTTAGTGTTAGTTATCCCCCTCCCCACTGCCCCTCCAGCCTAATCTCAAACTTTCCTTTTGTTCCTGGTTCCCACCTCACGGCAGTTGATGGGTGTGGGTCCAGGCTCCCGGGTGGCAAATGGGCTTTCCTGGATCAGGACCTGCAGGCTTTTAGGCATTTGCTTCTCTATTTCATGTCACAGACGGAGTAGAGACCAGTTGAGGGCCAGTTACATGGGTGTGTGACTTCCAGAGAACTGGGCTGTCCAGGATGAGAGTGTTAATGCATTCTTTTATTTATTTATTTATTTTTTCTTACCTCAATCTCTGAGTTTGCAGCAAACCAAGATATTTGCTGGAAGGTGGTGCCTAGAAAGACCTGTCCTAATTTAACTTGTCTTTCTCATAATTAATGGCTCACATCAATGTCTGAGACCTATAGACATTGGGATCAACTGCCAATGGGAGTAACGTCAGAGGGAGAGAGGGCTGCTGGTCTGGGGGTGGCCTGAATATCATCACTTATTGATGTGTCCCCGCCCCATCCCTCTCTCCAGTGATGGTTAAAATAAATACAGGTACATCGACTGAATACCAGTTTGGTCATTTTCATCTGCAGACGCTTGGGGCAATTTACCTAACCTTACAAGTCCTAGTGCCCATGACAGGGGAAAACAAGGATGGCCACTGTGAAAACCAAAGAACCATTTGTGCCTAGGCCATGCCCGCCTCCAGCTCTGTGAGGGCAAGAGCATTCCTGAGAGCCCCTCATCTTTGAGTCCATGAAGGTGACCGTGATGATGTAAGTCCTGTTCTTGAGCACTGCATGTATATTTCACTGGGTGTGAGATGCCTTTGATGCGCGGAATCATCTGCCTTAGACATGATTGACCCCATTTTGTAAGCGAGGAAAACAAGTGCCTGCAAAGTTAGGTAGCAAATTCTGGGCTCTTTCTCTTGTTCAGGAGAAGACATAATTCTGACTTAATGTGCCTGAATGCTAGGCATTGGTGGGCTCATGGGGGTTGGGGGCAGGGTGGTGGCATCCAGGGAGGAGCCTGATCCTTTATAACAACGACGGTGTTTCCCTTTCTTGGTTTTAGAAATAACCATCCAGCTGTAGAACATCTCATCCCTGAGAGGTGTAGCAGGGGATAGAGTTGAGGCTACTGTGAGGTTGACAGGCATTGATATGCAAACGTCCAGGGCTTGTCTCCAGTGAATAGGGGTGAGGCTGAGAGCCAGGCACTCAGGAGCCTGGCTGGAGTCTGAATTGATACTAGGGTCTTTTTAGGGATCAGCTGCTGCATGTCTAGCAATTTGGCTGAAGAGAAAACAGGTTGAGAGAGAGGAGAGAGTACCTAAGGCCTTTTGGCAGAGGAACCAGCTTGAACTCGGCCGGGCCCCTGGCTTCCAGCTGTGATTTCTTGCATTTTTCCTTCTGCTCCCTGCCAAGGAAGGTAAGTTAGGGATGTTGCAGATGTGTTACCCCATGCTTCTTCTGCAAAGCTAGCCTGGGAATTGGTTTCTAGAAGTCCTTTCTCTGCAGGATGCTCTGACCTGGCCTGGGCTGTAGGGCCAGCGCAGCTCTTGGCTCACTGTGTGTGATCTGAACCCAGGCTTGTGGCTAAAACACCTGTCCGAATGTCCAGGGTTTGATGAGATCTTGGAAAGAGATTCTCGGGCATCTTCTTGTCTGTATGCTTTATTCTTTTGATTCAGGGTCTTACCATATGTTTAGCCTAGTCGCCAATCACAATCCCTTTGACTCTGTCTCCTGAGTGCTGGGATCAGAGATGTGTCACCACACCCAGACATCTCTCACACTTTAAAAGGGGTTCAAAGCACATTGCAAATTGTCCCTTGTTGTCTGAGGGGGCTTGGTTCCAGGATTCCATCAATATTGAAATTCAAGTCTCTTACATACAAAGGCACAATTATATAATTATGAACACAACCCATGTATGTCCTCTCGTGCTTTAAATCATCTCTGGATTATGTGTAGCACTGACTACCATGTGCAAGCTATGTAAAGCTGTTATACAATATTGTCTAGGGAACCACAAGGGAAACAGCCTGTACAAATTCAGCACAAAAGTATTTCCATCTGTGGTGGGTTGAATCATTTAGGTGAAGACACAGGACAAGGAAATGTCTCTGGTGAGACCCCTCTTTTTTTTTCCTTCTTCTCCTTCCATTGGAGACTGCACAGCTCCGGGGGAACGCAGGCTGTGAAGTCAGGAACGGGTGAGTTTGCTGCTGGTGGCCAAGAGATTTGTATTGAGTTTGCCCCAGCAATCTCATCCTCCTGAGAATATTCTCCAGGAAACCAAAACTTGGCTGAGTTCTCTGAAATGTCCTGCACTCATTTTTCACACGGAGAAGCCATGCTCACAGAAACTCCGGGTCTCTTTCAAAGGCACCTGCCACAGATGAGTCACAGAGTGTGCGCCGCTGGCTCCTGGTGTTCCGGGCCCTCTGTGCAGCTCTTCCTTTTCTGCTCCACGAAGGATGTGCCAGTCCAGGTGTGGCAACTGCGCTGGGTGCCCACTGCGGGAGTACAGAGGACTTTTGTGCCAGGAGGGCACCACCCCCAGCAGGCCCCTCCCTGCTCACAGAACAGCCTTTACCTGCGGACGGTCGCCCGCCGCGTAGTTTCTCCTGCCGCTTTGCTGGGTCCTCTTTCAACTGGGCACTCCGAGAGCTGCTTCACGACGGTGCGGTGCAGCGTGCAGCAGCGACAGGGGCCCAGCATTACTGCCGCGAGCCCCTCTTTCGCGGGTCCCCTCCCTCGGGGCTGATCATTAACTCAAAGGCATTATAAGGAGTGAGCGGCCCCGGGGAGCCAGTGAGCCAGAGGGACTCCTCACCACCGCCATGGACATTAGCACCTTGAGCCCCGCGGTCACCGCCTCAGATTCACCCATACCGTCCTATGAGCGCATTCGCAATGCGGCTGACATCTCAGTCATTGTCATCTACTTCGTGGTGGTCATGGCTGTCGGGCTGTGGGTATGTGCGGGTCCTGGGACAGACTGAAGGGGCCAGGGCTACTGTGTGGCATGAGCGGGTGCACAGAGATGCCATGGTTTCACTGAACCACGAAAGACCAAGATGGGCTTATAGGTCTAGAGAAGGGAGTGGGAATGTCCCGGAATGCTGGGGAGGAGTTCAGAGCTCAGGAAGCTTGTGTGTAGGACCGTAGAGGGTGCCAAGGGACCCTGTCAGGAAGGCCCGGGGAAGATCCCCAGCTGAGAGGGAAGTCGGAGGATCACAGGGACTAGGATAGATTGTAAGGGACAGGAAAGGGATAACTAGGAGCTGCAGGGAGGGGCCCAGGGTAGGTGGGTACTGTCCTACTTCCAACGAATCCAGTTTCCAATGGGAAAGAAACAATTTAGAGCCAGAGGGTGCAGCCTCTGCGTAGCAGGTGCATGAGGCAGCCTATGGCTGAGCAGTGCCCCCTCCTGGGGAAGGGTTAGCGATGTATGGTGGGATTCTAGAGGACCTCTGGGGTTAGCCATGAGGAAGGAATCGGTGAGCAGAGTGGCCTGGTCCTGGGGAGACGGAAATACATGTGTCTCCTCTTGGGACACAGGGGACACACCAAACCAGAGAAACTTGTTCTTCAAAGCCTGGAACTTGGAAAGTTCGTTTATGATGCTGGCACACCTAACAGCTAAACAGAGCATGCGAGCTTTTCAGCTACCTCTAAAAGTTGAATTTGCTGTGGCGGCCACTGTGACAGCAGGTGTCCTGTTGGGCTCTTGAGTTACGAAAGGATTTTGGGCATTAGCCTTTTTATAGACATAGCTGTATCAGGGGAGGATGGAAGGGAGCATGGGCTCTTTTGTTTTGGAATTGTAGAAACCACATATAACAGAAGAACTTCTGGGTGTCACTCTTGGGTCAGCGTGGCTGACTCTTCATCACTACACCAGTCTTTCTACCAGAAGCAGGTGTCTAGAATACTCACCTTTAGTACTTGTTCTCATACAGCTGAACTAGATGATGAAGAACGAACTCCCCCTGCCAGCCTCAGTTTATCCTAGTATAAAATGGGCATGTTCTTTCTCAGGATCCCCTCTCCCAAATACTGTGATGTGAATCTGAGAGGTCTTTATGATTCTAGGACGCTTTTCTTATTATTGACCTTAGGGCCAATAACCTTGCAGGGTGTGTGATCCATGCCCTGGATAATATTTGTCTTTTCAAGTAAAATGGGCACAAATGATAAGTGGGGTAATGAACTTCACACAAAAGTCACGGAACAGGGAGAACAGCAAAGCCAGTTATAATTTCACAAAAGAGAAACTTGAAGTTACAGGCGATTGTGGATTGCCTAAGGTTTTGCAATCCCTGAGACTGTTCCGGGAACTCAGGTGTCTTGATCCTTGCCTTGACACCAGGCCCTCAAGCATGGTGCTTGCTTTCTGCCTCTCCCTTCCAGTTCAGACTGGTAGATGCCGGAGCCAAGATGCGAGTCCACCATTTGTTAGTTACACCGACCCCTTTCCAGGCACTGATCATCTCGCTGCTCTGAGCCAGACTCATTTTAGCCCCCCACCCCCACCCCAGTCCTGCGAGTGTTTACAATTTTTATGGTGTTTGCACTTTTGAAATATCTGTGAACCAGGGTCACTTGTCCTGTTAAAATGCTACTTAATGAGCTGTTAGTATTTGTCTATATTTAATCTTCTCCTATTAGCCAGTGCTTCTGGACCTTGCTCATTTGACACGATGGATGTCTTCCAGTTAACACTCCTCTTTATCCTACTGAGGTGTTAAGGCTTGAATTAGGGATGGGCATTCTGGTCTCTGAATGGTTTCTGGGCTGCACAGACGCAGTCCAGCCCACTGTGCGACTCGGCTTAGAAAATCACCCGCAGCTACTGTTCCTTCATCTCCATCCCCATCCATGCCAACATTGCCTATGTGGGCTCTGTATTCTTTCAACGTTGTTCTTCACTGATTATCTTTGGGCCTTGTCTTATTTCCTGTTTGCTATTTATTTCCCTTTTCTTCACTATTTCTCGTTGTTTCTTTAGGGGACTTTATATCCGTTTAAATTGAAACACTGACCTTATTCTTGCTGGGATATGCTACCAACCCAAACCAGAGCTGTTAAAAACTACAGTAAATGACCCAATCTTGGCCCACAGCCCACTTTTGTATGGCTCATGAACAAGGATAAATGCTACACTTTTAGAGGATTATAAGCATAATGGGATAAGGCAGGATAAAATAACACATGGCAGAGAACTCATAAAATCTGAAGCACCCACCATCAGACCCATGTTCTTCTCTTTTTAAAATTTTATTATTATTAATTTATGATTTTATGTATATAGGTATACTGCTTGCATGCATGCCCATGAATCACATGTGTACAGTGTTTTATGAGTTCATAAGAGGGTGTCAGGTCACCTGGAATTGAAGTTATAGATAATTGTGAGCTGCCATGTGCGTGCTGGGAATTGAACCTTGTCCTCTGGAAGAAATCAGTGCTCTTGACCTCTGAGTCTTCTCCTCAGCCCTCAAACCCATTTTATTTCGGCCTAATCAGATTGCTTGTCATTAAGACCCTTGCTGTTTGAATCAATAGGATCATTGATCAATAGTTGGCATGGCTTTTGAGTTATTAGCATCATTGACTGCTTGGGTTGGAAAGTCACACCTGGATCTTCACTCCGAGGACCCAATACACTAGTTTCTTTCTTTCGTTCCTTCCTTCGTTCCTTCCTTCCTTCTTTCCTTCCCTCCCTCCCTGCCTCCCTACCTTTCTCCCTTCCTTTCTTTTTTCCTCCGTCCCCCCTTCCTTCCTTTCTTTCCTTCTTTCTTTCTTGTGCTTGTGTGTGCATGTGTGTTCTCTACACAGCCCTGGCTGTCTCAGAACTCACTCTGTAGGTCAGGCTGGCCGCAGACTCACAGAGACTCACTGCCTCTGTCTCTGTTGCCAAGCATAATCTACTTCATGGCTTGATGGGGCAGATAACACCCAGCTCATAAGTGATTTGGTGGACAACTGTCAAGCATTCAGTTTCCATTAAGGGCCGAGAGCAGACCGAGAGCTGTCTCTCAAAGGGAGAATAGTTGTCTGCAGATAATCATGATGCCTTTCTTCAAAATTCCAGGGGCTCTTCTGTGATTCTCACATGGGGGCTTACCAAACAGCATCCCTATCTGCCATTGACCCCTCAAGTACAATTGGGTCTGCTGGACCATACGGTCCAAGTGGTACAGCAGCCTGCACAGCAGCCTGCACCTGTTGAGCCATCTCCTTGTTCCAGGCTCCACTCAAAGCTTGCGATTTTCAAAGCTTGAGTAGATGGACCAGAGCAACACACCCAAGTGAGGAATGTGCTGTCAACAGAACCTAAATAGGCCTACTAAGCATTGGGCTTCTTTCTCGGTTATGGATGGGGCCAGGAACAATAACTTAATCTTTCACCTTAGAAAAGGATTATCTCTACATGGCCCGTACCCCTGGACTGCTGGAAATTTCATTGAGATAGAGGTCTCTTGAATTTTGGTTGGATATTCTCCATCCTCTGATGTACATATGCTGTATCAACATTGGTCCATTCAGCATCGTGTCATAATGGGGTGGACCTGTGTGATATTTTATAGAAAAGATGCATGATCAAGATCTCCCTGAACAGGGAGGCGTGGCTAGGAAGACACCCACCGGAGCAGCAGTAGGAGGCAGAAAGATTGATTTAATAGGCTCTGAATTGTGAAGGGTGTTCATACAAAATAACACATTTCTAGGATAAACTAGGGGTTAGTGATGCAAAATGCAAAGGGGAAATGGGTAGGTGCAGCGAGTGGATGGTTTTCTTTAGGGTTAGCGCTGAGTGTCAGCTGGGCTAGCTCTTTCTCAAGTCAGCTATGGGAGAATTAGGGCACTTGATCTCAAATGAGCTTGCACATCGCTTTATGTCTGAAGGTCCCAAATGTTGCCCTTATGAAAGACTCCTTTCCTGACTGCATTCCCTGCCAAATGGAAGATAGCTACAGGGAGCTGGCTTCTAATGTATCTCAGGGAAGGAAGCGGAGATTTAGCTGTGGGAGTCAAGGTTTTTGACTGTGTGATTTAATTCTCTCAATGGTCTCACAGAGTCGGGTAAGTCACCCAATCAGCCAAAGAACAAGGCAGGGTTTCCAGTGTCTTTGTTCTTGTGGGACAGATAGATCCTGTTATGAAGCTTGTTCCAGTATATATTCTATATATGAAAACTATATAGCTAAATGAAAGATCATCCTCCTAACCACCCACAGACAAGTCTCATAAGATTAAGATGCAATAATGAGATTACTTATACACATCCCATGAGATTACACACTACAATGCAGGTATAGGGGAGACACCAAGCTGCTTCAGCAAATGTGAGCGACAGCTCCCACAGTCAATGGTCCTGCAGACCCTGTCTGGACAGGATTAATCCTCCATCAGATAACCATGCCTCTAGTGGGTTGACATCTACACTAGTTGCCACTTGCTTCTCACGGCCCCTGACAAGAAGGCCTCGAGTCCTTGTGGCTTTCATCCCTTCTGGTTCTTACACACTTTCTACCTCCTCTTACATGGAGTTTCCTGAGACCTGCAGGGAATGATCTGATGGAGACCTACCTTCTAGGGCTGAGTGTTCCAAGGTCTCTCACTCTCTGCTTATTGTCCGGCATGGGTCTCTGTATTTGTTCCCAGCTGCTGCAGGAGGAAGCTTCTCTGATGACGGCTGAGAAAGACACCTGTGAGCAGAGCAGAGTGTCGTTAGGAGTCATCGATTGCTGTGCTCCTTTAGCAGAACAGTAGTGTTCAGCCAATCTGGTCTCAGGTTCTTGGCTGCTTACACAGTGCTGGGCATGTGTTCCATCTCATGGATAGACCTTAAATCCAATCACATATTGGCTGGTTAATTTGTTAGCCACAGTTTTGTGTCCCTAGTGCACCACTGTCTACTGAAGGTTTATAGATGGGCTGGGGTTTACCTTTCTACTTTGGAGGTGTG